GAGAGAGAACTTTGAAAAAATTGCATTTTGTAGACTGATTGCATAAGGTAGATCTCTACGCAATTACAAGATATTCTCTTTCATGCTCTTTAAAAGGAATAGTTTGTCTTATGTTAACTGCATGGCACACCTTTATAATAAGTAAGAAATAGCTAATGTGTATTTTGAATTAATCACTTTTTTCTCTGTGTATAAGAGTTACCAAGCTTTCCCCATCTTTCATTGTAGGCTCTGGGTGTTTGCCAGTAGGGTTGGGCAAATCTTGCAGTTTGATGAACTTCCCCTTATCAGGAGTTCTTTCATTTAAGAAAGGTCATTTTTTGTGTAAATGTTTACATTACTTAAAATTAATGTTAAAAGGGTCATTTTCAGTTTCTTCCAGATGATGATGAAGCTGCCTCTATGTTCACTGTGGTGATTGATGAAGAATGTACTCAAAATGAGAAAAAGAAAAAAGCAGCTTCAGCAGGTAGCCATATGTCTTACTCAAATCTAAGAGTTATTTTAAATATGACTGTTTATGATAAGTTTAACATTTATACTGTTTTTATACTAGTTATTTTATTAAATAATTTGTCAGGATTGTTGTAAGAATTGATCTTAGCACTATACAGGGCACTAGTAACCTAGTTATGTACCTAAAGTAGCCTATGACTTGGGTCATCAATGGGGTCTCAGTCTGCTGCTCACTGGGTTGAACACTTAACCATGAAATTAGTTTTCTCTTGCTCTACCTGCTTTTTCTCATATCCCAGCTTTCTTACTTTGTATTTGGAACAGGCTGTAAAATTTGATTGTCTAAGGTGCAAATCCTCTGGAGAAGTCCAGAAATTTGGTTTTCCCATTCAAGTGAGAAAAGCTTTTTTCTATTATTTCTCTGTTTGACTTTGCAGATCAGCCGGGTGTGGTTATATCTGGTTGGGACTGTGTCAAGCTACAGTATGATGTACAGTGGCCATTACACATTCTGTTTCAACCTGCAGTACTTGAAAAGTAAGTCTTATGCACAAAAGGTATAATTGTTCTTGCAGTATATTTAAATTATTGCAAAGATGAACATATGGGTAGTCTTTTTTTGTGGTTTTCATTGGGTAATATGGAATTCATGCAACAACTCAAAGCTTGATGCTCATATAGCCAAAGGGAATGTGTAATTCATATTAGGAGAAAATGATGGAACATGAATACATTTTATGGAAACCTCAATAAAATGTAAGACCTTCAAACACAAAGTTATGAATACTTTACAACATGCTGAATGCAGTTTACCAAATTGGAGATTGAAGCTGCAAATTTAGTCTCAAGAATGATTCTCCACTAGCCATGGAGACCAGCTTGGAGCACTGAATTGACATTAAATATGACAAATGGATACCACAAAAAAGGCAGTAGGAAGATTTTTTTTTTAATTGAAAATACAGTGTCCTACTCATGTAGAAAAGATTTTGGTTAAGATATGAGGAAGCTGACTTCTTGTTCTATTTGTGTGTGGGTTTTTTTTCTCTGCAGCTACAACAAGTTGTTCAGATTTTTGTTGAAAGTGAAGCAAACTCAGTTGGATCTTCAACAAGTGTGGGCAGCATACATGGGCACCAAACACTTATCTACTGCACAGCTATCAAATATGACAAAGATCTGGCTTTCAAGGATGCATATGGCCTTCTTGGTGGATAATCTACAGTATTACCTGCAGGTAACTTACTTACAACTTAAAATTTTAATTAAAAGGAAATTCTGGAATTTGCATTACACATATGCATGAGAGTACCTACCAACAAACCTATTATGTTTTTGTTGAAGGCAGGTAAATAGACTCAGGGAATTTGAAAAAGCCAGCTTGCTCATATAGTGAGTTGATGTGAAACACCCCCCTTCCCCCCTCTTTAAAATGGAATTATTTAACTTTGTTTCATAAGGGACCATGATGTTCTCTTGGTTGTGTTGGTATACAGGTGGATGTACTTGAGGCGCAGTACAGTCAGCTTGTGGAAAAAATCAACAGCACTAGAGATTTTGAGTCCATCCGTTTGGCGCATGATAACTTTCTTACAACATTGATGGCTCAGTCTTTTTTACTCATGAAACCGGTTAGTTTTCATATATAAATCAAACATTGATAATATATAGATTTAGCCAAGCCTAAAAGTGGAGCTCGCATTTTTTTTTCCTGCACGTCTCATTAGGGCACAACGCCTTGCCCTGGCTAGGACTAGAACCCAGGTCATCCAACTTGGAGCCCAGTGCACTGACCACTGGACTACTTAACAAAGTCGTGACGTTGGCGTGCCCGGCGTACAGTTGACCATGCATGTTAAAAGTAGCACCTTGTACAGTCGTACAGTCGTACTACCAAATTTTTTCAGCTTGATGGGTTACTACTATTTTGTATAATTATGGGGCTATGCTCTGCGAGCTCCACTATAATAAGAGTGAAGTAAATGATTGTCGACTGAGAAGCTGTCAATTGTTAAACAAGTTCTCTTTGTCAGCACCTAAAGAAATGTACAGAGAACAGTATGGAGAATATGTATACTGATGTTAGGGTGTGTACAATACTGGCACAAAGAGATGGGAACTAATTTGGCACAGAGCACTTCCAGCTCTAGATAAAATGTGCCTAAAAAAAAAAGCATAGTATGCTTTTTTTTTTTTCCCCAGGTTTTTCAATTTTTTTTCTTATCATTATTGGTGTGCTCTTTGTGATTGACAGGTGTCACACTGCCTTGATGAGATCCTGAACTTATGCCAATCATTCAGTGCGCTTCTTCTTCAGACAGGCAGTAGTGGTCTTGCTAAGAGAGAACTGAGCCAGATTGACAACATTACTAAGGTATAGGCTTAGTGACAAAATAGAAAGGCAGTTTATTTCAATTTTACAATTCTTGAATAAAGTCCATTATGGGTTTGAACAAGTGCTTTTTCATTCTGTAACTCTATCATTGAGTTACAGAATTCTAAATTAGTGATGGTGTGACATGCACCATAATGAGGTTAATATTGGTGAATAAAAAGTGATCTGTGTTTTAAATCATTTTTCTTTTTAAGCCAAACATTGATGGGAAATTAATTTGTAAACAAATACTTATCTCACTGGAAACTTCTTTCCTTCTCTCCAGACATATGAGAGACAAACAGTTCTTTTGTTTCAAATCTTGTCAAGTGTTCGGAGCCATCAAGCAAGTCCTCACTTGGCTCAGTTGCTCCTGAGAATTGACTTCAATAAACATTTTTCATCCTCCACATTCACAAATTCATCAACTGCAGAAGCAACCAGGTAAGACAAAGACCTTTGGTTGACAATAGGTTACCCATTGTATTTCCGTGTGATCTCTATATGGCCGTTAATAAACCCATCATACTCATAACCCTAACCCTAAGCATCATACTCAGAATTAGCTTTATAACGTGAATGAAATCATGCTTTGCTTTGTTCAATTGCATCCTCATTGGCTAAGAGTTTGTAAATTAATGCTAAGCAAAGCAGAAAGTTGGCAGGTCTGCGATTGTTTTTGTCTCAGAAAAATGCACTCTTACTTGTTTATTTCAAATTGCACTTGAGGTTATCTGTCTTCTCTGGAATTTTGGGTTCAATTTCATTCGTTTCCTCACTTTAACGTGACATTTTCCTTAGGTGATAATGAATTTGATGTGCTATTGTTCATCATAGTAGGGGATACTTAGAAAGAAACCTGCAGTGTAATACATGGGAAAGTAAATCTTAGATTGCAACAAAGGAAACTAAACAAATTTGGAGAAATTGATAGGGGATAATTAAGATCATAGAGAGCCAACTTTTTTATTGTTTTGTCCTCAGCATAACAGAAATCTCTGGCTAAGTTTGATTGTTTGAAAATCAAGACCTTCTATGTCTGGATATAACTTCTACACAGTTCAAGAGCCCACCAATATTTACAGCTCATTACAAAGAACTGCAGATTAAAATGCTCATGACAATCTGAAGGATAGAAGAGAGTAAGATTACTCTTTCTTGGATACGTGTTTAATTTTGTGCTTTACTGGGCTTTGTAAGTTAAAGAGAAAAAAAAGAGGGTAAATATATTTGTAAGATGTGACAAAGCAATAACGTCTGAGTAAAGTTGAAAATTTCCTGAGCAAGTCACTGGACAGTATAATTACAGAACTCCAAAGAATCATGCTGTGCTCCCATCATTTTGTGTTAGAATACACTCCACCTGATCCTAACAGCTCCCACAAGGTTTGGAAGGGAAGGGGGGAGGAGAGGTTCTTTGCTCTGGTTGAGAGCACAATAAACCCATTGGTTACACCTTCCCAACCTCTCATCTGAAACCTAAGTTTGGAATTGGCTAGTTCCCAGGCTGTTGCCCATGCTTTTGCATCCCCTTCACACAATGCTTTGAACCATTTTGTTTGTTTGTGATATGCTTCTCTTACAGATCTCAAACACTTTAAACTCCTTAAACTGCTGTTAAAATCAAGAGCAAAACAAATACACAACTTTCTGCAAATGAGGTTTTAATGGAGCATTGTTTTCTATTTATAACTATTGAGAAAAAATCTTTGTTCCTCCTAAAAATACAGTTTTTAATAAATAAAATTTTTCACGACACACGAGTTCAATGATGCAATTTTAAATTTTACCATGATATGTCTTGGTTTAAAATTGATTTTGGCTTACTTTAGTTTCAAATGTAGACGTTATCTCATGAAGTGATATGAAAATGACATAATCTAAAAATTATTAACCTCTTTTTCAAGAGGGAATTCAGTTGTCTTTTATTCAGTAATTTTTACCCTTGTGCTGACAAGTACAAACATTAAATTGAAAGTTGTTGACCAGTTACTGATCCTTGTGGCTTCCATATCTTTCTCTATGGTTGCTGTGTAACCAAAGTAGTAGTTGTAGTAGAGGGTCAATCGACAGGGCCATATTTAGCATTGCAAAACAAGGAGATATGCACCTATCAATCCACCTTTGTTTGGTAGTTAGTGTGCCTGCTGTGAGAGCAGGGTGTCAAGTCCCTATTTTTTGGCTTGCTTCCTATTTTCTCAACCACAGTTCATAGCTCTCAGAGAGCTATGAACTGTGGTTGGTTTGGTTGCAGTAAAAATTTGTCCAAACAACATCTGGATCCATAATCTGACCTGTGTTGAGAGTGATGATTTTCCATTGAAAGAGGTAGACCTCTGTAACTGAATGTGCATTTGATGGTGAAAGAAGTTTCAGACCACAGACTGGCGACTTATATCAATGTTACACGAAAACTGTTGGCACACAGTGATGTGTGCTTGATGATGTTATGTTTCACATGAAACACCGTTGTTTTGTGATATTTGAAGTCATCTTCTTACAACACTGCACAATTCTTGCTCCCATCCACTCCATCTACAAGAAGGTTAACTGTTGATCTAATAAAACAACAACAAAAAGAAAAAAGATTAAGGGTATAAAAAGGAAGGAAATTAATAAGTACATTTAGCTGTCAGAGGACAGCAACTGAAAACTATTCAAATAAACATGAAAAGTTGTTTCTAAATGATACCTGTTTAGAGCTAAGTGACTTCTAACCAGATCACCAGTAGCAAGAGCTGATAGCAATGATAACTCTCCAGCAAGAACAGTGCCACATATAATTTGTGCTAATTTTGTTGAATTTTTCCCTGGCTCTGATTTGTTTGGCCCACGGACACCAAGCATCTGAAAAAGAAAAGGGGCAACACTGCAGGAGACTGTAAGGAAATTAAATCTGAAAAAGGCATACTGGCAAGTCATGGTGAAGACAATAAAATGTTGCCACTGGTCAATTTGGGCCCCTTGTAACACTTTCCTTGGTGTTTTCAATCATATAATGATAAAAATAGTCAGAATCATTAAAAAATTTTAGTGCCTTTTTGGACAACTCAGAACAAGGAAATGAGTTATTGACAGCAAACACTTTGTTTTGTAAACCTCTTAGACTTTAAGAACTAAGTTTTGGTAATCCTTTCCTGTAAGTACCTTTACTGGCACAGATTTTTTTGTTGTAAGGACAAATAATTTAAGCATTATACCATTAAAAAAAAAAAGTCACCTTGAGACAAGCAGACTGAGGGCCCAACACAGTACCTCCTCCTACTGTACCAACCTCAAGTGATGGCATTGTACAGCTGATCACAGAAAACAAAAGACTCGAAATTAGAAAGACAGAGGAGATATACAAGTCATCTAGAACTTGATTTTTGGTACAAATTAGTTCACCAGAGTCACAATCATCTTGAGGAATGGCTAGTTTGTCTGTGGATTCAAGTCTCGCTCTCCCCCCCCCCCCCCCCCCCAAAAAAAAAAAAGCATTACCTAATATAAAGGTCTTCTTTGGTTGCTCCACATGGCTCAAACAGAGTGATACAGTTGCTGCTTGAAACACACTGTGCAGGATCCTATTAAAAGTAAGATGTAATCTTAAGACATTTTCTGTGGCATTTTTAACTTGCTTGCGATCTGCACTAGTTTGTAAGCAAATATTCAGTGTGAAAAATTAGTTTTTGACATTCAATAAGTCTTCATTCCACTGAAAAATGCATTTATATCTTTTTTTTTTTTCTTTTCTACAAAAAAATGGTCATTTGCACTAGTTGAACCACCATAGAATATCTATTTTTTTCATCAGGGATATCAGGAAATCTGAGAAGTGGAGAAAAAAATTACAACAGCAAGGCATTGTAATCAGCATTGACATTAAAATCAACGATAATGTTGCAAATTCTGATTTGTACCCTACTTAGAGAAAAGTAAATTGATGCATTTTGGCTAAATAATAATACCTGGCCTGTAGCTATAAATATTGCTGTTACTATGTTAGCTGCATGAGCATTAAATCCTCCAATGGCCCCAGCCATAGCAGAACCAACCAGATTTTTATTGATGTTCAGTTCCGAGAGTGTGGAGACTGTTGTTTTCAAAACCTGGAAGGAAGAAAAGTAAATACCTTACACCTTACCCAAAATACTTCTAGGCATTTGTATTCTTCTCAAAGGTTCCCTTCCATGGGGAATGATGAATTTACATTTATCACTGAAAGGTCAAATGGTACAGACTACTTAAAGATGTTCCTACTCTAAATTTGTTTTTCCAATCAAATTTTGATAGCATACTTTTTATGGCACTGAGAAGGTAAGTGACGCATACACACCTTCTGTACAATATGCCCTGGGATTATAGCCTCACAAACAACAGACTTCCCTCTGCCTTCAATCCAGTTAATAGCTGTGGCTTTTTTATCTGTACAAACATTTCCACTCAAGCTCAACACTTCGAGAGTAGGAAAGTGTCGTTGTAAGCAAGAGAGGGCTTTTTCTGTTCCCTATCACAACAAAATGATAAAAAATTAACCAAATACTAGCATGTCTTTTATTCTTTATGCTTGTTTACTGAATTATGAAATTAAATGGATACAGATGGTTAATATGTAATTGTAATAATTTAAGATTTCTATTACCTTTGATACCATGTTCATCCCCATTGCATCTCCAGTTGATGCAACAAATCTAATGAATAACAAGCGCCCTGCAATTATTCCTTTCACTGACTGCAATCTGGCAAACCTGCAAGTTATATTCATCAATTAGAATCATCTGTCTAGAAGAATACATTGAACTAGTCTACAAATTTATACTAATCATTTATTTCAACTTAGATCCATTAATGGGAGTCATACATTGTTGGTACCATCCCCTGGAAAACAGATCAGTTTGGAGAAGCCTGTACCCCTCCCCTTCCTTCCAGACAAGACTTTGATTTGATGACACCAAAATTTGGGGATATGCTGTGCCATCATAAGATCCACAAAATTACTCTCTTCTAGGGCTAGAGACCTGGATCAGACTAGAGTCCAAAAATTGAAAATTCTAACTCTTATAATCTGAAATTCTGGACCTACCTGCTTGTGCTGTCAAACTCTTTCTTGATTTCCATAAAATTTTTCTCCTCCTCCAACCACTGCTTTGCATTACTGTAATTCAATGTTAAATCAAAAAGTAAATACCTTGAAATGACAACATTTGTTTTCTTTAGCATGAATTCCTTGTAATGTTAGTTTTACAATAATTTTAATATTCTTCACTTATTTAGACAAGGCTAGGATCTGACTTGAAAGTATTCGATATTGAAAAGTAAAGAAACGTGATCTAATTATATTGATTACTTGTAGTTGAACATGATACAAGGAATTTACCTGGCAAGGAATGCAGAAGGAAATCTTACTGCAGGACCCCTGGTCATACCATCTCCAAACACTGAACTGCGAACACCACCACTCAGCTGAGAAACAAACCAACGTAATTACAAATGCAACTTTACTGAATCTGTAATTGTTTTTAAAACACTGTAATGCTCACACAGCCACAAGGCTTCAATTCATGAAAACAAAATCTTCTTGGTTACTCAAGAAAGTCTTTTAAAACAAGTTGAAGAATCAACACAGAGATATCACACTGTCACAGCTGGATTGCAAATCTATGTCTCACTTCTTGTGAATAAAATTAGTTCATTTTAAACCATAATGAGGATGAAGTGGTGTGGTTCAACATGCAGAAATTGCAAATTAAAGAAAAGTTATCAAACTGGAAAATTACCATGAGAGCTCGACAACCACGATTAGTGCTTGCTACCAGACACCCTTCTGTAGTTGCCATGGGTACATGATAATTCTCTCCATCTAGCAAAAGAGGGCCAGCAACACCTACAGGAACAGGCATGTAACCAATGACATTTTCACAACAAGCTCCAACTACCTGAAATAGAAAAAAAAGGACAGATGTCAGTTTGATATTAAGAGTAAATTCTCTAGGTTCAAACAGCAAAAATTACAACTTACATCAGAGTAGTTGTAATGGTCACAGGGAAGATCAGACAAATCGGTAGCAGATAGGAGTTTCTTTGACACCACACTGCGCCTGAAAAATGTTTCAAATGAACACAAATCAATGTCTAATGAATGCAGTAGTGTTACTATCACATACTGGGGTTATCACCCTTTTTGCAGTAATTATTTTTTAAACCTCTGGAAAATATCCCTTAATGACTTGATCATGTTACACTGATCTGCTTCATTTTATTAAATTTTCAGTGGTTTAAGCAATATTGAAGTCTGATTGCATGGCTTGGATCACAAAGGTAAGAGTAATATTTTCACTGTGTATGAGATAAAAAATATATTTCAGCTTAAGAAATTTGGAGGCTTTCATTATTTTTCCTAGAATTGCACAACTGCCCTCAATCAGGCCATCCTATAGTTTTATTTCATTTGAGTGTTAGCAAAAGTCTCTTTGTACCTGATTCTCACTGCCCGTGCTGGATCTTTCAGAACCTTTTCAAGCTGATGACCAGGAATGGTTTTACTCTCTACCAACATCTGGATTTCTTTGTCAGTCAAGTCTAACACTCCATCCTGTTTAGAAACATATATCAAGAAACAATCAATTTTAAATGGTTTGCACTTTGCTAATAACAAAAAGTAGTCTTGTAACTCAGGTTTTGAAAAAAAGAAACTTAGACATACCGGTTGTTTCAGCATCAGCTTGCATTCCTCCAGAGTACGTGCTCTGTATTCCACTCTTGGAGGACTACTGTCCAACCTGACAAGCACTGGGGAACACTTAGCATCATCACTTGAGTGGCACTCACTACAATGACCTTCACTAACTGTTCTCCTTCTATCACGGACCTCTAATTTTGTTCTAGAACTAAGATCCTGAGATTGTTCTTGATTTTCCTCCTCTACAGCCTCTTTTCTGGGCAAGCATACAGGCTCAGATCTTGTTTCAGCAGTCTTTTCAGAAGCTATGCTTTCTTCACTTGATTTAACTGATTCTTGTTCACTCCTATCTATGTCTGTGTGAGTGATGAAGGATTCCTGAGGTTCCATGTGAGTTTGCTCCACATGCTCATGCATTCTGTCCCCACTATACATAAAAAATCTTACTACCAAGCCAATTCCAAAAACTAAAGCAACAATCTGTAAAAGAATAACATAAATTGAGTTAAATCTAAGCAAATCCATGAAAAAAAATTAAAACTTAAGATATAGCATCATTACTACTGTAGTTACTGATATGAATTACTCAGGATTCTTTCATCACCTGTTCAGTATTTCCAGCTAAGAACCTGTGAAGTAAGAAAATGATTGTGAGATAAATTACATAGATGTACATAATTTTCTTCATATTTTTTCTTTAGCTCACAGTCACTGGGTCTATTTGTTAAAATATCATATAAATAGAGCCAAACTTTGCAAGCATCACTGCAGACTTCTTTCAGGTTCGTCAATTTGAATGAGCATATTTGACTGGAGAGGAGTTCAGTTCATTTGCCCTCTTGTTTAATTCTTAGTCCTGAGTATGAAATTCAATGCTGTATTTTAGGGTAATTCTTCTTGACCTTTGTCATGAAATGCAAATACCTTTTAAACCAGTCTTCTTCAAGTGGAGTAGTCCTAAAGGAATTTCCACTGTTATCACCACTTCTAGTCATAACCCATCGGTGCAGATGAACAAACATTAATCCTGTAGACTAAGAGGAGTATCGCCACAAATTAAATCACGTACAAGATACTATAATTGGGTACATATACTCACTTTAATACTCACTTTGTATATATTGAAGGGGGTTTTAAAATATCATAGGAGCACTCCTCAGCTAGCTATTGACACTCATGACTGATGTCAAAACAACTCTTACAGGTATTAGAAAATCAATGTATAGCTCTCAGAAATCATCATGTATACCCTCCCACCTAGGTTATTTAAAACTGACTTGAGCAAGGAAGCTGACAACCACTTGGTAAAGCAATCTTTGCACATGTAGCATTATTGTATAAACAGAACTCTTTCAGGAGGGGGTATATTCAATACTCTACATAGTTTTATATTGAAGGTATATTAATTTAGGTGTCAAAAGTACTCTACAATTGCTTTGGTTTCAAGTTGCTTTACTTTGCTGCGTGATTGATCCAGAACACTTGGTCCACTTCAATAACTAATCACACTCTAAACTGAAAACAATGGTAGCTTGCTTCTTGCTTTACTTGTTTTTACTTTGAGAACTCCTTTGCTCTGTGTAATATTTTCCTTTGTTCTAAGTGGCCCTTTAAATAAATTCCATTGGTTTTAGTTTTACAACACTCAGTTGAAAATCACTCAAATATTGGCTTTCATAGAATGCTTCAGCCATATCACTGTAAGGTAATGAAAAAGAAACATCACTTAGCCTTACCATTATAAGTTTAACCTGCTGCACCACAGGGTTTGGCTCAAGTTCCTCTTCTGAGGTATCCGAAGATTCCAACTGCCATCTTGGTTTGCTATTTCCTCTTCCTGTGCATAACTGAAAAATACATATAACAGGCTTAATACCTTCTTGTCTTTTCCTAAGGAGGGAAAATAAGTGGTTCCTTTTGATGTTATTATAAAAACAATTCAGGGAACTACTTAAAAAAAAATTGATGAAGATTAACTGTTTTTTGCTTGAAAAGGTTCATATTGTCAACTTTATGGAAAATTCTTGCTGTGTGCCTGTTTTTGTTGAGACAATAAAAAGTTTGACATTTCACTTTAGTTTCAAGCAAATCCAAACAAAATTAATCTCTCTGGGACTTGAAATTGCAGACAGCTTAACATACAAAAAGCTTCCTGTATTCATACCTCAAGAAACAATGACAGACAGGCAGGAAAAAAGGTCATAAATAACATGTAATGAGTGATCAGTGATAAACATCCAAATTGACAAATGGTCTCCAGCTCAGTGACCCCTGCCAAAAAAAAAAAGAAAAAAATGTAACAAATTTATTACTTAGAAAATTATGCAAAACAGAATTTTTTTTCCATAAGTGTTGCCAAAATAAAAGCATAAGCACAGGGGTACATATGGGTAGCAAGGAGCTATCAAGAAAACTTGTTTTTGTTTTTGTTTTTCTGTTTTAAAAAGGAGAAGGACTATTTAACTAAAGACTGTACACTGCACAAACCTGAAAGGGTTCCTATACCAATCACCAAAGTACCAACAAGTGTATTGAGGGTTACAGTTGGACCCAGGTAGCAAATACTTTCTGCAATCCTGCCAGGAACAGCATCCTAAAAAGTTACAAGGAATTTAAGTTAATATTAAATAGAGGTTAATAAATCAACTTAAACAACCTAAACATAGATCTGAAAATTTAATGCTCCATTGAAAATACCCCCTTTCTTATAGCCATTGTAACTTCAAAAACGTTAAAAATTTCTTGTTTACTCCACAATATATCCTCCACTCCTGTTGCCATGGTGTCAGTCCCTGCTACTTACTATAGTACTGTCACAACTTCAACTTTACCCTTATTTGGATTAAAACAATATAACATACAACAATATAACTAAATTTGCTCTGATAGGCTATTACGTTCAAAACATCAGCTTTAGAAAACTTTAAATGGTAGCCAAGTTACATTATTAATTCAGTCCATTACACTAAATTATCAATTTGTAATATACACCAAACTCCTCCCATACTTTTCATGTTGTCAGTTTAAATAAAATGCAAAATATTGCGACTTCTTCAACACACCTACACTACCCTTTTCTCACTCTACATCTTGCACACCAACTGAAAGCCAGCCATATACTCACATAAGTTGAAGATTGAAGAGTGTGCTTCACTAAGGAACTGGCTGTATTGAAGTCACTTAGAAGAAAGAAATATGGTAGAGCCTCCCTACAAAAGTAAACAGTCTGAATATAACTAGAAGCTGTTGACTGTTGAACAAATTATCCTTGTAGTACCTTAGGAAATGTATAGAACACTACTGAGAATATGCAAACTGATGTCAAGGTGTGAAGGGTAGATAATATCTCACTGACTCCTTAAGTGAAAGTGAAAGTCAAAAATCAGTATCACAGAAAAAAAGATCATGTGATCTATGCTTAACCCACTGGAAGGAAACAAATAGTTATCATTGCCAGACATTTGGCAAAACACACCCTTACATTTCTGGAATCATCACATCTTTGATAACCCATTACAACATAGAGTTTGCAACTTTGACAGGAAAATATTAAATAAAAGATTAGGTCTAAATAAACATTTGTTAGAGAGTTCATGAATCATCTCCAGAGCCTCACCTTACAACCCAAAAATCTCTACCATATAAATTAGCCACTATAGAACCAAACACTAGACAGGAAAAGACTGCAAACACGGATACAAATCCTAAAAATAAAAAAGAAAAAATGGCTCAAGACATTTTATTTGGGATAAATTGAGTTTAATCAATGAAACACTTCTAGAAATAAAAAAAAAAGGTATTGAAAACAGCTGTAGCTAATTCCAACAAAGCTGCAAAACAGAACAAAGAATTTTAAAAAGACTTTGACATCACTGTGAATATCAGCCTGCTTCAAGATGGCTTTTTTTTTGTATCACTTTGACTGTTAGACTCAGGATAAAGCATTAAAATCAAAATTGTATCTACTTGTAGAGATGACTATCTTACCTAAAATATATGAAGACCCTTGATGAATAAGCTTTTTACATTGAAGATAAATGCACACAAGAGCAAAGAAATAACTCGTCGGGCCAACATGTAAGCCAGCTGGTAAAGATATCTAAAATTAAACAAAATGGCAAATATCACCAAATCATACCTAAAATACCTGCTAAATTCTTCACATTAACCTATATGTTTACTCAAATATTCAAATTGTCTGGATTTATATGAAGATTACACAAGCAAATAAGCAATAGTGTTGTATCGGATTTGCCATCTGATCGTGTGAAAATGAAATTTGCCCTGGAGGTCCACACTCCTCTCTTAGTTGAGACAAATGAACCAAATTAGGACAGTAAAATTCTTATATCAGATTTGCTCCAACCTGTTCATAACATTTTTGTGACAATGATTAGGGCGGAAATTTCAAATAATACGTTCACACCTACAGTAATTCCAATGGCTATCAATTTACCAAACTGTAAATAACATCAGGATGTAGCCACTGACAGTATCTTGAACAAATGCAATTTCTTTTGTGTTACTCCACAAACTCCCTTCTTTGGTAAATTACACACTTGGTGAAATGTTTATTAAAAGCAATTACCTAAAATAATTGCTTTCTCAAGTCCTTGACAACCAAATAAAGCTTTGAGGGGGTTTCTTACACTGCTCCCTAATCAAGATGACGATTTCCGCTACATTAAAATCTGCACACCGCAAATGAGATTAGCTTATGGCTATAAATTCACACTATTCAAACCATTTCCTTAAATGTTTTTCGAGTGATTTCCTTGTTCGTTCAGTAGCACGAAATTAAACTGGTTACCTGGAAAATTTTTCATGAAGTGAAAGGGCATAAATCATATCCTGACATTCGATGTAAATACTTGTGGATATCTTAATTGTAAGCTTTTCATTTAGTCACGACATGACCAGTAACAAAAGAAAGCCCTCCTAATAGGACGTTTTTTGGATTCTATCAGACCTACTTGCCACATAAAATATAAATTTTGATTGAAAAATTAATTGAATTCAGTCATTCAGTCATTCATATTTCGATAATTCTGAAATAATCTACTAACCTTCTGGCCGGAACTTTCGACTAGGTCTTCCGAAGAATGTGTTGCATCGTATATATTCAAACTTAACAAACAAACAGTTCCAGTGATGCAGACTAACAAAACTTCAACAGGATGATGAGAGCACTGCTTACCATGGTAGTAAAACAGGCTTGAAATTCCACTTTGCGACATGAATTTTTTTTTTTAACCAAAAAACGCGCAACACTTGAAGTTTACTCCCTGCCTTCCAGCATGTTATGTCAGGCGACGTGGCTGGTTACCAAGCTGATATGACGCAACTCAGGGGGTAAATCCCCTTGTTATTTTTAGCATCAAGACACTTCAGAGGCAAAAAATTTGCCTGGAATCGGATTATTTTTGCCATATACGTTAAAATTTCTGATATTCGTATTATTCCCCTGAAAAAGAAACCAAAAGTAAACAGTTGATTGACATGAAAATGAAACAACCGCAAAGCTAGAAGAGTCATGTGACACAAATCTTTAGCTCGTTCGAAAAGCATTATGGATTTATACCCACAGTGCTTAGCAAATTGTAAACGCGTGCACCAGGTGTTTTGGAAAAAAGAGGTGAAAGGAGAAATTTGGTAAGTAGAAATTTGCTTTTTCTCTTTGTAAAGAACCTTTTCGCACAAGAGTAGCTCAGGGATGTGAAAAGGATACATTTTCTATCTCAACTGTCCTTAATATTTTATGTACCTGGTTTAAAGCTGCGAAAAATCGCCCCAATTATCTGCACGCCTGCCTGCACCAAAGTCTTAAAGCTATTTTAACGCTACCAAAATCATTCGGCAAATTGGTCTTTATTCTTCCTTCAAACCTATCGTGTACCACCCCTTAAGACGGATAGATAAAGAGTTAATGTTTTGTAAATGGCACTAGCTTTTCTTGTCAAATACACTCGTAGTTCGCCGTTTTGTGTGATTGGCCACTTGGGTAAATTTTTCTTTTCTAGGCCAGGCAGTGCTTGCATCATGTTGCTTACGGATAAGCCTGATGAGCTCTGGTTGCTCCCATAAATTTCAAATATCACTAAAATGGAAGAATAATAATTTTATTGTTTTTGATATAAGGCTGATTGACGCTTGAAGTATATATGATATACCCAAGGATTAGTTATTGTTAACTAGAGTTCAACAAGCCAAGGATCACCATGAAGCCATCCGAAATGCATTTTTTTCTGAAATATATAGTCTACAGTAGCCTCAATTTTCAAAATTTTTAATACTAGTTAAATGGAAGGACAGAATAAATTTCTGCTGGCATGACAACCATGCAAACAAAGGCTTCATTTTAGAATAATCCTGAGAAAAATCAACAAAGATGTCATCATGACATGTGAACTAAAAAAGCAATTAATTATCGCAGTCACATGGGAATGAAATATTATAATGTTTCTCTCTGTGAAACAGCAGATTTTTCTGTCACATGGCTGAAATATGTACTTTAGTGATATGTCTGTTCAGTGTTAGTCCACCATGAGCTAGGTCCTCTTTCAACCATCCAGACTTTAAAAATGAGCCTATATCAACACTTATTCCTTAAAAAATATCCTTTCTCTCAAAAGGTTTTTAATGTTAGGGCATTTACACTGTATAATGCATATAACACATCCCAGTAGTTGGCTCTTTATACACAAGAGAACCTACAGTGAAGCCAGCATTCCTCATTAGTTATTTAGCAGGGTTTTGTCAGCTGCCCAGGGGTTAAATTTCTTTTACTGCAAATCTTGAAACTGGGGACTATTTGTTTTGACATTCAGCAACATCCACCTTCTTCAAAATGTAACCTAACCACTTCCAAGATCTCACATGGTTTCTCCCCACTATCTGCCAGTGTTCTGCTTCAAATTTTGTTTAAATTTTTTAATTTGTTTTTTTGGTCATTACCTTTTTTTTTTGACAACACTTTGATATTGTGAGGAGAAATTGCTGACTGGCCATTCATTTAGAATGGAAGGGTGTAGTGAAACTTTGCCTGTGCAGTTGTTAGGTGAAATAACATTCTGTCATTCTGTTACAACAGGTCAGAGTGTTATTTAGAAGAAACATCTTGTTATTTATCATGGACCAACCTGCAGTTGATCAAGGTGATTATATATACTTTTTCCAAGTTTTAGATAAGGTTCTTAATAGCATTTTGGCCTAAATGCATGAGGTTGAACATTTGAGGATTCAAGTTCCAGTCACATTTAGTTGTATTACAAATTTAAAAACAATTTCAGGAACATCTTTTTCAAACTGTGGCTTCCTAATAAAACTTTTTTGGAGTTAGCTTCTTATTCTTTTAAAAGAAACTTAATTTTTATCTCAAAATGATAAAGGAATGGGGATGAAGAGACCAGCTGAAGAGGATTACAATAGCAATGTTCATGCAAAGAGGGTGAAAGATGAAGAGGGTGGAGTCAGTGGAGAACAGACAACTCTACGCTTTCTACTTGAGAGCAGGGTAAGACTTCGAAAAGGATTATAGTTTGATAAAGTGGTCAGTGTGGTTCTGTTTGGCAGCCATTAGTTTCACTTGTTTTCAGTTATGATAATAAATACAAGGCAAAGAAAAAAAGTTAAAATGGTTGAACCATAGTTTACATTTAACTAGACTTTCCTATGCCATATGTAGGTTTAGTGTAATTTTTTTTCCAAAAATGTTAAAACTAAAAGAAATAATGATAGAAAAGCCAGCAACTTTGTGACATTAAATTGAAAAGGTTGCTTTAAAAAATCTTTGCACAAATTGCAAAAGATTGTTGTGGCCTCAAATTAAAATTTTGAGCTGAATTAACCAGCCTCATTTGTAAAGAGATTTTGATTAAAGAAAGAGATACATTATTTCTAAATTTAGATACTTTTTTTTTCTTTTCTTAAATGTTTTAGGATGCTGGTGGTATCATCGGCAAGGTAATACCTATGTGATAGTAGTTTGCTAATTTTATTTACTCCGATGAAAGCTCTGCTGTTGTATCTCATGGTTGGTAACATTGTTTTTACACATGCTGACAATGGCTTTGTGAAGCATTTAATAAAGTTGATGGGATATGAAATGAAAGGTAGTTTTAAAGTTTAGAAACAAACAGAAGACAGATAATTTTCACTGTGTTTGTAGTAGTATTGTAAAGCTTAAGATTAATAAATTTTATGTAACTGTTGATGAGTATTGCACCTTTTGATAAAAATTTGTTTTCCTTTTCAGGGAGGACAGAATGTGAAAAGATTACGTAGTGAGGTATGGAGCAATGTTATTTTATCTTTATTCTACACCTTAAACAGTTTTGTGTCAAGTCAAATTGTAAAGTGATCAATGTTTGATTACTGGTCCAATTTGTGTCAGTAAACAGTAATTATGTATGAATGGTTTCCAAATGATTCCTTTTTCTGCTTTGTCAGGTTCACTATTACTGGTGTGATGTTGCTATTGAAAATTTTTCTAATCTCATTATGACGGATTTTGGTTTTTTCTGGTGTATAACTAAGAAACATATCAAATTTATACATGCATGCATGTTTAGCAAATACTATGGTGACTTCCACATGAAGTATTTCATCCACATTAAATTGTACATTTTGTTAAAGGGATGTTACCTCACAAGATAGCCTCTGTTCCACTTTAGAATGTTTAATGACTTGTGATTTTCCCAGGCTTAGGCTTTGAACTGCATTCTGTTTAACTCCTTCCTTTCCCTTGTAGTTTATCCAGCTAACCAAGTACCTTCATATTTGTCAGATGCTCTGTTCTGCCTCTGGAATAGTAGTTTATCCCTGCTAAGTTGTTGTTGTTTTTCTCTCCTATTATTCCCTCCGTGTTCCCATCCCGGCCCTATCCACCCGTTCCCATCCATCTACCTGCCTGACACCCGCCCGTGTTGGTCCCTGTTGTGATCTCACCCAAGTTCAAAGCAGTGGTCAATGTCCCGGATACCAATACCCCCGAGCGGTATGTCCCATGCGTCACGTTAATGTGTGTCCTGCCTTCCTGTACATTACACTGCATGTCATAACAGTGTAATGCTGTCATATCTAGAGGGATTGATTCTAACTATAGATAGAAGTTATGCCTCAAACTATTACTTTAACTGAACTGCCAGACTTTTTGGCAACCAGTGGCCAGTATTGAATTTGTTGAATGTTATACAGTAGGTGTAAACTCATGCTGTATGATACCCTATGTTGTCTTGAAACTTAATGTTTTCTGTGGTGCTTGTTGCTATATTTCTAATGTTCTGGAATGTTAGGAAGCCTTAACTACCATAGACACGTTTTTATCAGAAATAAGGAGAACCATCATAAAAAAGTGTTAACAATCACTTTATGGTAACTTTGAAGTGAGAAAAATTCTTAAAACAAATATTTGCTTATGTTTATATGATCTCTACCCAACCTGCTTTCTCTAAATTATTAAGGCATGTAGGGCTGTGTTCGTTCTCATTTCCCAACTATTTTTACTTGTAGTGTGTTAACCATTACTGCTGCTTATGATGATGCAATGGCCATATTTTCAGAATGCTTACCAAAGATCGGTGGGGTAAGTTTTTAATCAATTTGATATGTTCTGGTCAAAAGAGATCACATCTTGTTGGCAACAAAGTTTGGTTCTGTTGCTATATATGTTCCTGAAATCATTTGCATTTGCTTTGACTGACATGTGTCATTTTTAAACCATGAATGATGTACTTTTGTGGTTTATGAAGGGTTTTAACCGAAGGCTGGAATTGATAAAAAATAGTCATTTATGAAGTTTCAAAGACTGGCTGGGATACTCCTCTGGTTATCTGTTTCTACCTTTTGCTTGATTCTCTTTGATAGTGGCTGGTCAGATAAACTGATGACAGGATTAAATTGTTTTGTGTGATCTTGTTATAGCGCCAATCCAGTTCTAATGGGAAAGAAATCCAGATGCTAGTACAACGAAGTCAGGTTGGGAGTGTGATTGGGCAAAAAGGACAGAAAATAAAGGAAACTCGGGAGGTAAATTTGCTGGGTGATGTTTTCTGGACAATTTTAGTTTTACCAAAAAACTATACTTTAAGAGAAGTTCTCTGCTAATAATTATTTTTATTTTGTGGCAGAAAACTGGAGCACAAATCAAGGTGAGTGGTTTTGACATGAAGCACTTTATATGGGAACTTAATTATATTAGTCTGTCAACTGGTGACAAGGCAGGAAATTTTTTGGTGTCTTGAATTAATTTTTATGATTTTGTGACCATCCTTTCAAAGAATACCTCTCTATTACTTTCAGGTTCATTCTGATTGTTTACCAGGATCAACAGAAAGAATTGTGTCCATTCGTGGTGAGTTTTTTTTTTTTATCATTTATGTGTTTCTTCAACCTCAGTTGTAACTCTTTCACCTCTGTACTTGACATAGCATCCTAAATGCGAGTTTTGTCCCACAGGTTCTGATGAAGTTATTGTGAACTGTGTTAAAGAAGTTATTGATCAATTAAATGAAGTAAGTGAAGGAGGAAGTTTTATCAATATTTAATCCTCAATGAGGCAATAAACAAGCTTTTCTGGCTAACCCTTGTAGGGTTTTTTTTTTTAGTTATTGATTAAGTATACTTTGTATTTCTTTAGTCTCCCTTGAAGGGGTCAGTGTCCTTATACGACCCAGCTGGAATGAATGACTGGGATTATGGTGGTGGTTATGGACCTGGTGGAGGTGGCCGAGGACGTGGAGGAGGAAGAGGACGGGGTGGTCGAGATGGAGGAAGGGGAGGATCTCGTGGAGGCCGGGGGGGAAGAGGTGGTTTTGGTGGTGGTGATAATATGGGATATGGAGGAAACTACTCACAAGATTTTGTAAGTTTTGGATGTAATTTATTTGTCTGCAGTTTTCTTTAGCAATTTAAAGGTATTTGCTGGAGATTTAACCTTTTCTTCTTGAGAGCAGCTGTAAAGGCAGATTGATCTAACATTTGTGATTTGTTACTTTTTCTTTTAACATATTAGGGTGGTGGAAACATGGGAGGTGATATGGGAGGTAAAAATCATGTCTTCTTCATAGTACCTTAATCGTCCATACTAAGCAAAAAAACTAGAAAAATGATTCTTATTTTGGGCATGGTATACTTCTTCTCTGTGTAATGTTGGTGGCAAATACATTTTACATAATATTGAATTTATACTTTCTTTTTTAGTAAGCTTCCTCTTGCAACAATCACTCCTTAAATGTAAGGTTGTGAAAGAGTTTCATGGAAATTTTTTACTTTGTTGAGTGATTAACACTTTCCTTAAAGCTCAAAGCATATAAATTATGGAGAATTGTGGTCATTTTGTAAGGCTTGAACCATCAACCCTTTTAAGAAATGATCCTTCATAGAAAATCAAGCATTGTGTTAGTGACCAAACTGTTTCTCTGCATTTTGTGTTGAAGGTCAGTGGAATCAAGGAGGACCTTCAGCAGGAGGAGAACAAACTCAGACACAAGTTACCATTCCTAAAGATGTAAGTAACGTTTATAAAGGTCTTCAATATCAAAATAGAAATTTTACTTTCTTCTTACCAATTTTAAACCAGTTTTTTTATGTATCCAAATGCATCATATAAATTGTAACCTCTCAAATCTAATGGTAGAATTGCATTAAAAAAATGTCAAATAAATTGTGCTTTACAGTTGGCAGGGTCTATTATTGGAAGAGGAGGAGAGAGGATAAGACAAATAAGGTAAGGATATGAGATGGATACACTCTATGTTAATTCTGAAAATGATTTTTAGTATAATAAAGAGTGCTGCAATGTGTGATTGTTGGTATTTTGCATTACCATTGACTTGTATGTTTGCAGAAATCGCAGTGGTGCAAACATAAAGATCGATGATCCTCTTCCGGGTTCAAATGACAGGATAATCACCATTGGGGGCAACCAATCCCAGATTAATTTTGCTCAGTTTCTTCTTCAACAAAGGTGAGTCAGGTTGAAGACAGTTAAATGATAAATTAAAGGTTCATTCTAGAAATTGGCCAAATAGTGCCCAAAAGTGACAATCTTTTTATCTTTTATGCCTGGACAAATTTGGTTTTACCATCTATGATAGCTAACAACTGCATTGTTTTTGTTTTTTTCCTTTCAGTGTACGACAGTACTCGGGCAAGAATTACTAAACTTATCCTGGACATGTCTGGTCACATGATTTGTCAACACCATTAGCTTCCTATGACAAGTTCATGAACTTTTTCTGAACAAAACTCTTTTTTTTTCTTAAAAAATCCTTATTTGGAAAATTTGCATTTACTTATTTGTAAAGATTGCTATGCTAGTTTGAAATATTTCTCTTAACTTAATTAATTCAATTCTGTTCAGATTTTCATTTCATCTTGGTTTTCCAGTGAAGAGTAATTTGCATTGTTTTTAAAAGCACTATACCCACCTTGCACTGAAGATTGAACAGTAGTTCACTGAAAAATCAGCTTTAAAATGCTGGAAATAATTTGATTATTTTAGCATCACTACAGATCAAGTGTAATATAGAAAAGTGATTGAACATTTTACTGGCTATTATTATTTTTTTGTTGTTGTTATTTGTCTTTGTGACTGAATGTGTTGGGAAATGACTTGTACATCTGCTTCAATTATGTAATAGATTCTTAAATTTGTTGTAAACTTAATAAAGCTGGTCAACTTGAAAAGGTGTTAGCAGTGATTGTCCTTAAACTATAATTTAGAGGCTAAACTTGGCACCACAAATGTACTCCAAATTGAACGGCTTATGCTTAAACCATAGCAATTTTATATTCTCAAAACGATAGCGTTAACGCTTCAACAAATCTGTTTTCACGGCACTCATTAAAACATTCTATTCTCCCCTTGTGATGGGTAGCCGGTCAAGTCGCCTGGGAGTCATCTCGCCCGAAGTCATGCCGCCCGAAACCCGAGTCATGTCCGAAATTTTAGCTATATCGCCCGAAAAAAAAGTCAAGTCGCCCGAAGAAACAAATACAGACTGTAAATACCAAACAAACAACGCTTCATTTTTTTGTTAGAAACGGAGAACACTTCCCTTTGTTTTTTAGAAACGAACAACGCTTTTAGAATCATTACTCAAACATATTTCAATTCCAAGCATACGATCGATTTCTGTGTAGTCAAAGTCTTAATGGTATTGTTAGAAACCAGGAAAGAGTTTCTCAAGCTTACGAAATGTCCGTGAGTAAGAAACGGTAAGAATAACCTAGTGGTATAAACCGTATCCATGATCCATTTTTTATCATCTATTACCAAGTAATTATAAAGTCAAGGGTCCAACTGGGGTTGCACACGGGATTTTCTGATCGCGATAGATGATAACAGTTTTTTGAGGTTCTATTGACCTAAGACGGACATCTCGCAAAGTAGCTGTATATTATATTTTGCTCACAAGGATGAGAAATACAGATTACGTTTCCACAAAGATCAGGGTTAACCCGAAATTCAAATTAAAAAAACGAAAACCCTTCGAAATATTTCATCGTTCTCTAACACAGCACTAACAGCGCACCAGCGCAAAGTAATTTGGTACCAGTTTCCCGCGAGAGCGCGCCAAAATTGTAGCACGTGACCTGATAACTTTTCGCCAAACGCATGTATTGTGTCCTGCATGTCTGGTGCAGCGGCAAAAGTCTTCGGTTCTAATTTCCAGCCAAACTATTTGTAAGTATCTCTTCCTGTTCGTGGATTTCTAATAAGGAATGGCGTATGTAACGACAGAGCTTTGTATTTTGAATGGATCTTGCAATTTACGCTTGCGAGGTGGAGAAATATTGTTGCATTTTTTTGCCATACACCCGGGTTTAATTCTACGGAGGAAACGCGAATGATGATGAGCGACTCAAACTATTTTATCTAGCCTTTGAGGAGGAGAAAATCGTTGTGAGATATTTATATCGTCGATGGCCTTGTACAGCTTGAATGTTTAAGTCTGAAACGACGAGTGATGAAACGAAAGCTTGCCTACAGCGGTCGGCACATGTGCAGTTCAAGGGAAATGCCAATGCTGTGGGACTAACAAATAAGGAGTTTCTCTGTGGATGTTTTGGCGATAATTTTTTATCTCAAAGACTATAGTTTTGCTTTCCATTCAGCTGTGAAGAGATTCCATCGAAAAACATAGCTTGATTGTGTTTGACTCGTCTGAAAAGTTGAACTTAAGTGTCAATGTGTGCTTGCTTATCGACGGTGGTCATTCACCAATTTCGATTCGTGACTCATTCGTAGTTCGTTGTCATTTGTGTGTTGACTACATGCCTGCCCTTTCTTCAAAATAGGTTCGAGGAGTAACAACTACTGATAGATACCATCATTTTCTTTATTGTACGGGAAAGAAATCTGTAATTTCAAGGACTACATTATTGCTAGAAATTAGGTTAAGTATCGACGATGTCTCTGACGTATTCTTGCACTTCCGTTCTCTGAACTCACATCGAAATTTTTCGCAAGGCGGGTTTTAATGTCTCCAAGTACTCGTCAAATCTCCACCTAGCAAGCAGTAATATGTTTTGAATGTCCTCACTCTGCATTTTTTTTGCTCTGTTTCACAGGAACGTTGTACATACCTTGTATATACTGTACAGTTAGGGAACTAGAAAAATGAAAGGAGGAACTACCACTGTACCAACATCACAAAGCAAACACACAGATGGCTTGAATACCAAAAAGGTAGATCTTCAATTCCTGCTTGGTTAATTTACGTTCCTTGTCTCTAGTTATTTAACTTAAGTATAGTTAAGCAATCTTGAAATTCATTATTGATGATAGCTTCTGAGTTCCACCGATACATGACAATTTATGGCGTGCCATAATAATTAATAGACTTTATGTTTATAAATTGATTTTACTTAAGTTCACTTTTTGATTTTGAAAGTCCATAATTGACTGTTGGGTATTTGATGTGCTTTGAAATTAAGTTTGAGAGGTAACATACCTGAAATTGAATTCTACGTAATGTAAAACCTTAAAACTACAGTAAGTCAGCAAGTGTAAACAAAAAAATATTGATTTATGAAGCAAGATTATTCTCATTAAGTTTTCTAAATTAGTGAAGTCCTCTTAAGAATTTAACAATCAAGAATAGCCAAATACATTGCCACCAAGTTTGAATTGCCTTTCTTGTTGAAAAAAGTTGTTTTGGTAAGAATCATCTTGCGCCTAAATATGAGTTAGATTCAAACATTCAAGGAGAAAATTTGATATTGAAATATTTTCAATTGGAGAACTGAAAATGGGAGAGACTGCTTGGGTCAAAATGAAATTTCTAAGTATTATTCATTATACAGGCTACAAACTTTGACAATACCAATGCTTCCAACTGATTTAAGATATCTTGGATTTCTCTCCCTCAACACCAAGACCTATATTGTTTGTTTCTGGAATATAAGGAGGAGGGCTCTTAAGTCTTGCCATCTATAAGGATGTTGCAATAGTTTTATAGCTTAGAGGGGACTTATCTTATGTATGATATAGCACTTCAACACCATTGTTAGATCATATTAGAAAGTATGAGACAAGTGGTCATGGTAGGACAAGGATTTAATTGTTTCAATAGTTGCTAAATGCTTCATGCATGTACGGCAATCTGACAGGTTCCAGTGCGTGTTATTGTTGTCACCAGTTTTACTGATATTTTTGGGATACATATCTAACAGCTGTTTTCATTTTTAGCCAACTGCAGAACAGATCAGATATGCCCAGCTTCTAAGCACAGAAGATTCTAAAGTGGTGAGAGATAAGATCAAACAGGTATGTTTTATTATATCAGTCCATCATTCACTCTATTGATCATTCAATTAATCAATAAATCAGTATCAGGAATCATTCATTCAACTGTGAACTCATTCAATCCCTGTGAAAAGTTGATGCTCACCTGACAGTGTTGAATTTGATATTTTCCTTGACTTGCATGTAATAAACTTCTACATGGTAACTAGGAAAAGGCTAGGCAAGAAATGGTCCAGTATGCATACATAATGTAGCAAAGCATCTTTTCCACAGGTTCTCATAGCTCTCATATGCAGTTTATGTGAGTTACTACAATCTGTTTCAGATGGCTGGTTGCTTAGTGCATATTCTCACCATAACTTGTCCAGTTCATGTCTTTGGAACTTATTGCAGATTGTATCCCAACCTTTTTTTTTCTCCTCTTTAGGTATCAGATGTGACAGGATACAGTTTTGATGTTGTGAGCATTGCACTGCATGATTTTAATTTTGATACAGAAGCCACAATCAATGCTTTGTTAGAGGGAAGCCAAGATCAGGTATAATGAAATGTTTTATGTGACTACTAATTAATGGAGACAACATAGCTTATTATTAGCAGCCAGTATTGTGGACTACAGGAGTGAATTTTTCAAGCATGCTTAGCTGTAAGCGTGGTTTAATTGCTAAACTAGGAATAATTTAAATACAGGATGGGTCACTTGGCCCAACTGTTGTCATTACTTTACCTAAGGTACAACCCCAACATAGTAGTTATAGCTTGACTTGTCAATAGACCTACATGTGAGCACAGCTGTGCTACATGTACTTTGACTTCTATTTTACAGGATCACTGGTGGTGTGAAAGCACTCATTAAAAGTTAGGCTTAAAATTTAAACTTCATTTTGTGGTAAAATCATGGATGAATGATTAGTGTTTGATACATGGACACACCTTGTACTTGTAACATGTAAGGACTTAAACAATTTCATGACACCATGACAATGTGTGTTTTGACCAAACTCTAATTTTGTAGAGTGAATGGGTCATGAGAACAAACAAAAAGAAGAAAAGTCAAACTCCTGTCTCACAAGGCATAGATACAATCATCCCTACATCACAGACAACAAAACCAACAACTACAGCTCCAGTATCTACTAAACCTGCTACGCAACGACCACCAAGAGGCAAAGGTACAAACCATTACTTTTTTAGCTTCTCATACTACAGCTCCCCCCCATGATTAAATTTCAAGTGTAAATCAATCGTTAGTGTGATACTAAGAAAGATGTTACAGACATAGGAGAGCGTTGAATTAAGTGTTGGCTGAAATTTAATGTTACATCATTTTCTCCCTATGTTTCTTGAGGAAACATTAGACAATTAAAAGGAGAATCTAGCAGTCTATCAGATTTCACCAAAGGCTTTTTTCCATACACTCTCTTAAAAGTGAGACAATTGATCGCATGTGAGTTCCATTTTCAGGGATTTGAACTTTTAGCAAGTTTTGAATTTGCAGTTGAGCACTGTTCTGAAAAAGGTCTTTTTTTAACAATCAATGTAGAATTTATCATCTTTGTTACTCTTTGTGGTTGAAGAAAGTGAATTATTTGTGAGGTCAAATGACCAAGTTGCTTAGTATCCTATGGACATTTTTTCAGTATTACAGTTATAGCTGTAAATGCTACTGTATCTCATCAGTCAGTTGTTCAGCAATATGTCAATTTCAAAATTGTTTTTTCTTTGCAATTTCAAGGCAGAAACAGACAGAGTGGAGAGCAAAACAACAGTTCAGATAAGGATAATAAGAGTGAAGGAGCAATTCATAACAACAATAGACATCATGGAGAAAGTGGACGTGGAAGGGGCTCAAGGGAGGACAGATGGAATGATCGAAAACCAGGTGGCAGAGGTCTGTAGCATGTGCTTTGTTGGCCTTATGGCTTGTTCTTTTTAG